TCCACCCCTTTTCGACCCAAAGCACGACTTCCCTCATGGTCATACTTCCACACTTCTGCCCTTACTTCGTGCCCCCTCTCCCTCCCCCACACAAACTCTCGCCCCCAACCTTCGTACAGCAGGCAGCCGTGCGTCAAGCATAAAAAGGGCGCGGGCCTGTGAGGACTAGCTAGCATCGACGCTTCCACACGCGGACATGCGAGACGAACGTCCAGGTATAAGCGAAGAAAAAAACGTATGTTACCATCACTTGATCGAGACTGCGAACCGAAGATCACCCACCAAGCCCTCTAGCGAGGTACGGATTACATGACATTATTATTTTCAAGTCCTGGATCTGGTAGTGGTGTCGTGGATAACATTTCAAACAATATAATAATTTTTGCCGTGACCAGTGCGAAGTTTATTGGTTTTCACTTCTTACACCTTCAGTGTTTCTTTCTATTTCAAGAAAGGGAAAATAAACAACTTCTGTGAGACTTGAAGTGTCTTCGTCTAGACAGGCGCTGTTTTCTTCAAGAAGGGGCCTTCACTATAGGCTTGATTTATGGGAACATTCCCAATAAAGCGGATTTTAAAAAGTTCGTAAAGATACAAGAGCGTTTACGTAATTAAACAAGAACTGGACAAAAGGCTAAAAAAAAGGGATAGTAAACGTTATCGTTGATAATTGGTGCAGCTGATAAACCACACCTGCTTCCCGCAGTTTGGTATACGTGTTAGTGGGCGGCGAAAGAAAAGGTGGGTAGAAAGTAGAAATCAGGACGTGATAAACTACTGCCGTAACAATCCCCCTTCTTCTACGTACGTGTGGCCTTCCTTCGCCCAGCCAACCCTTATCAGCGACCAGGCGTAATCCGGACTGGCAGACGTCAGACGACTAGCGGTTGTAGGAGCAGACGACTAGACATTGAGTGCGCGCCAGAGCTCCGCCAGACGGTACCTCGGAGATCTTGGGAGTTGACACCTGACATCCACGTTCTGTGGTCATATAGTTGCTCTCGGACTTTGTGACAAGAAGATTCGTTTACTTCGTAATTTATTTTCCGACAGTTGAACCCGTAAGAAACCTGCAAGTGCTTCACTATGATGGACAACTGCACTAACTTCTTGGCCAAAGTGGTGTTGGTAAGTGATTTTTAACCAATCTTCCCAAGTTTGTTTATTATTGTAAATATGCTAAAATGGGCAGTATGATTTTGCTTTCAGGCTTGAGTTGAATAATTCTTGATGAGTTTTTTTTAAAAAAATTAACACAACTGGCGGGGTTTGATTTTGTTGTAGTTTTTGTCGTTACTGCTCCTGTTGGGACCATGGTTATTGTTTTTGTTGTTGTTGTGTTTGTTTGTTTGTTTGTTTGTTTGTTTTTTTGCTCCTTAATTTGGTTTTTACAGCAAATGAAAATAGCAAATATTTCAGATACCATGACTTATCTATTAGGTAAAATCCGTGTCTCTGTTTCTCAATGTGTCATCTTTCAGTTCAAGTACAAGAACCTCAAAATTGTATCGTCATCATGAGAATGGAATATCTTACAATTTTATTAATTTTTGTGACGAGAATATGCGTAACATACAATGCCCAACAATACAGACTCAAATTCCTGAGCATCTGCCGGTGTTGTTGTTGTTACTGATGCTTTTGTTATTAACCCCCCCAACCCCCCC